GTATTTAAAGAATTGTTAAAACTCTCATTTTAAATTCTATCCAAATGATAAGTTATCTGGCATAAATGAAATTACATAAATAAGTTAAAAAGCATAACCTGTTTTCTCTCAGAAAGCTATATTGAGCTGTATGGTGAAAAATTGCTAGACGAAAGGATGCAAAGCATGTTTTGTGTCAACAGAGACCTGCCGGTTTTTTACTGTTGAGGTCATGTGCTTGAAAATGGGTGGCTGAGCCAGCTATAATAGTTGTACAAGAACTAGTAATTTATGCCAATTTGAAACAAGAAAATACTTGAAGGCCCAGCAGTGTATTATTGCGGTGTCCATGATTCACAGTGATGTAATATTGTGTGTTTTTTGAGTTCCTATTTTATAAAGTGCTGCAAGAATGAAAAGCAAAATTTGAAATATATCTACTTATTTGAGAACTTGTGCTTTCACTTTAAAGCTCTTATCATAAGCCAGGAGCCTGTAGCAAGCGGACATGATAAGCCAAGAGTTTAACTTTGACCTTCATGCATATTACAAAGACAAGTTAAGAATATCTGATGTTGTGATAAAAGGCAGCTCTGCAGCAATACTTCCATTGCACGTTTTATACGCAGTTTTGTAAAAAAAGTTTGTCCCTTGATTTATTTATGTACGTTTACATCTGTCATAGTTCAAGAGTTAGGGCTGTGAAAGAAAAAAAGCAACAAAACTCTCCGCTTTTACAGAGGTCCAAAACAATCATCTACTGAAACTTTATAATAATTTTCAGATTTCTATGGTTTATTAATTTCTATTTACTATGATAATATTTACCATATAATATCTTCAGTATTTAAGGTAAATACAATATTTAAGCAAGGATAGTTATTGAATGTAGTATTATATATTCTGCTAGGTATTATTTCAATATGATTTCAAATTTTCAATATGATATTGATATTAAAATATTTAAAGCTAATTTAAGTTAAGTTATTATTAGTGGTAGTAGTAGTGGTATCGGTGGTATTATGACCAATATTTTACTTTTTTTTTAAATGAAAATTTCCACTTAAAATATGATCTTCATTATGGATATTGACAACAGATCAGACACACCAACATGTTGACGCCTCAGGCATGGTCGTTTTTGCATGACACCACTTGACTGTCGAACCTGAATTTAAGTGGTCTAGGTTTTGAACAAATATCTTGTTGTAACAATGGGGCTAACAGTCTGACTCTTGTTGCGAGTGATTTTTATGTCCATTTGTTTGAATAGGACCTTGTTTGGTGTTGCACATAAGAGACAATAATTAATAATTTACACAATATTACTGTATATTGTGCTTTTGATCCCACAGGATCTACTTTCCGTATCCCCATCTCCATTCTCTTACTTCCAAAGCCCATTAATTCTCCACACTTGCCCCTCAGTGGAATGAACTCCCCACAGAAATCAGAACTGCTCCATTCCTGACCACCTTTAGCACCTGCTCATTGTCAGACAGCACCTGTGATTGCTCAGCTCTCAATTACAGTCTTGAGTCACTCCTGTAGCGTTTTGTGCTAATGCGCTTAACTTTGAAGATGGCAAAGTGATTTGCTTTTATTCAGAATAAACACAGATTGCTTCTTTTTTACTGCTTAGCATCCACATTTTCTGTGTGCTGTTTTAAAAATATCAATTCCTTAAATTTATTTAGCACATTTCATCCAAAGGATCTCAAAGTGCTCATCTTATAGGAGAGGACACAGCATCTACCGCTTAGTACAAGCATACACCTGAACTTTTCAAAGCCCCTATCCTGTGCTTCACAGCAGTTCAGGAACAACATTAAGAGAGTGTTTGACCAGTTTGGTAAAAAGAGAACTTTATCAAGGCCAGAGTGGAATATAACCAGGATATAAGGGTTAACCCCTACTTTTTTTCTACTGAAATGTATGTGCTTTCTCAGCTCAGCTCCAGACAAAGACAGAACTGGTATTTGAATTATTTGAATTAGTAATAAAGAAGTGGCAATATTTAGCGAGACCAATATTGTTTTTGGACTGATTTAGTTTATAGAGCAAGTACTGTTGTTTAAAATTGCCTTCGCCTATGTTTACTGCTATTGAAAACTCATAACTAATTAATTGTTCTAATAACTTTGTTTTCATAAAGTGCTGTCCCTTATAATTCAAAACAGTGCCTCTGTAATGCAAAGAAGATGTTTGGTCTGTTAGTTTTGTGGCTTTCCATATAACATGGTAGCATATTTGGTGTTATTTCGTTTCAAACTGTCAAGCTAATGAATGAAAGCGTTTGGTTTGCCCATTACTATCGGTTTTTGGATTGGTTCTGTAAAATTTGGTTCTATATTTGGGTTTTTTAGCATTGTACAGATTTGCTACAGTATGCACTCACTGGCCAAAATATTTGGAACCCCCTATTATAATTACTTTCTAATTGATTTTTAATTTGTGATTGGATTAACTAGGATTATAACTTGATTTTAATACCCTTGAATAACCTTGACAGAACAATCTTTACATCCTAATTCTGTTGAAAACTGATACAACTGGTTTATTTTAATTGAAATTCACAGTGAAGTATTTCCTGTTTCTCTTCCTGTAAATTAATTCAACAGTTGCAGATTATTCTAGTATCATGAAAATGACAGTTTAGCTTGATGGTGACAGTTGTCTTAAGTGCTGTTTCATTTCTAAAATTGTCAAAGCCCTTCAGTGCTGAAGTTCTGGGAAGCTGAACAGTTGTCTTTCTGCTATACTCTGTTTCTCATCAAAAGAATGAATGTCTACTTCGTTTGTTGCCTCTTTAAAAAAAGGCTTTCTCTGAGACCATTTCCAGTCAAGTGATGCAAGACATTCAATTGAGGAAGTAAAAAATTATTGTTTTTCCCAGATGGGAAAAAAATCACATGTCTGGCAACTTTCTTGTGATTCAGTGTGTGGGTTTTTGTAACCTTTCAGGGCTCTTGTAACTTCTAAGAGCAACAAAGCTCTTAGCATGTTTGTTGAAAAGCCTATGGGGTTCATGATGGTCTGTCTACAGGCTTTTGGTAATCAAATGTGTCTGAATCTTTCTGTCATATGATATTTTAAATTTCTACAGTAAACCCCAAGCTGATTGATATAGGAAGTATTTTGCAGGTGTTATCACAAATCAGTTACCCTTTTCATACTGTACTAATAACTGGAGATTTGTACATAGAGTAATTTTACAATAAAGCTGGGTTAATGCCTTATGAGACATAGGCTATGCATTTATTTTAAATCCCCCCTTAAGTTAATTGGTAAGGCACAAACACAGTCTAACCTACTTGCATGATCTGCTTGGCAGTAGGGCGACTGGTCCTTGGTATCTTAAAAAATAGGTTTTTGAATGAAAGTTGCTATATGCATGCAGCAGTTATTTATTTAATCTCACAGGAGATTAACATATCTGAACTGCCGTTTAGAACAATTCAGACGTTTTTTCTCTTCTAAATATTTTTATATATTTTTGGTCAGAATCCTTTGCAATTATTGCTTTATTAATCAGAGAATCCCACCTTTTTGTTTTGATTTTACAGCTCATATTTGACCTTTACACTTTGATATGCTCTTTTGACACCCAGAATCAAAATTTGTTTAAAATGATCTGTTATCTTTGTATTTGCTTTCTAAAATAGTTTTTACTTGTGATTTAAAAATAATGCCTTGCACAAATAATGAATGACCAACCCAGAACAGTTTTATGCAGTATATTTCTAAAGCTGGGGTCTCTAATCCTAATTCTGGAGATGAAAGCTGGAGACCTCTGCTTGTTGTGCAAGTTACATATGTGTACATAATAATTTTATATGTCTTACATGTTTATGAATTTGCCACATTTTTCGCTGACCTCTCTTTGTGAGATTTTTTACATGTTTATTTAATCCTCTTTATTCCTATATACAACATGATGAAACTTCAAATACAGAATATTACTGTAAAACATAGATGATTTTCTAAAAACCTCTTGGTTACCCGTAACTATTTGGTTATCATTGTCCCCTTCCTGACGTTAATCTGTTGCTGTTGTGAATCTGATGCCTAGAGCTCCTTTAAATTAAAATATTCGAATGGGGGTCAGTTTATAGAAAAATACTTAGCCTAGCATCCAAGTGGAAGCCGTTCTGATATTTAATGAATTCAGTTATAAGTTGTAGGTAATAATCATCTAAGAACAGAAGGCAAAAATTAAATAGTAACAATAGACAACAACAAACAGTAAAACAGGGAAATGGAAAGTCACAGATAGCTACAGTAAATAATTTTCTATTATGTACATTGCAGGTTATGCTTGCAAAAGCAGAGTTTGGTTAAACAGTGCTGGTTTGTGTTCCTACCTGAAAAGAACATTCCTTCCTGGGCTGTCTTATGGTTGGCCATGCCCCTGCTGCCGTGTGATTGGAGTGAAATTCGAGCCTTGCAAACGATTACCCTCCAGCTCTGGGTACCTCAGGGTTTCAGGCAGCAGCTTATTCATGGGAATGATTGGTCCCTTAAACCGACACATTTTGTTATTGCCTGCCTAAAGGATATGCACCACAATCCTGAAGGAGGAACAGGTTAATTACAAAATGCTGCTTTTGTAAGTATTCTAATCTTTTAAATGTACTTAAACCACAACTTTTCATGGTTATTGATACAAAAGGAAGTAGGTTTCAAATTTTTCCTGTGTTTCCTGGTAATCCTAAGCGGTATGTGGTTTTTTTGTTTCTTTTTTTTTAACGGCTAGACTTTTGTCTCATATAAATGTTTGGCTTCTGTGAGCTATGACTGGAGCTTCCGGCATAAGGAAAAAGGAGAAATGCATCTATTATTCATTGTGCTTCTCCATTACAGTCACCTCATAGTAACGTTGCAGGGTTGTGAAGTCAAAGCACGGCCAACTAGTAGGAAGAGGTATCGCTGTGTTTCTGTGGCGTAGCACGTTCATGCTGTACTCATGAACGTGCTACGCTCAACCACAGTTTTCTTTTCCAACCTGTTTTCTCTTGCAGGATATGGACCTGATTGACATCCTCTGGAGGCAGGACATTGACCTGGGCGCAGGCCGGGAAGTTTTCGATTACAGCCACCGACAGAAGGAGCACGAGCTCGAGAAACGGAGAAAGCTTGAAGAGGAGAAGCAAGAGCAGCTCTTGAAGGAGCAGGAGAAAGCCCTGCTCTCTCAGCTGCAACTGGATGAAGAGACAGGAGAGTTTGTTCCCCGGCCACCACAGAGCACTCAACCTGAAACTACAACAGCACCCACAGAGGCCCCACAGGTACGCAGCTGTCACTGCTGCCAGCATAGAAAGACTCATCCCATTGCATGCTGGAGTTAATTTGGATGGTAACTAGGTAACTGAATTACCCACTGTAATTAGGATAAAACAGGTGGCTGAGCAGTCCACATGGACTGTTTTAATGCCTTTGAAGCCTGGGTAAAAAAACCTTTGTATTAGCTGTATGAAAGCCGGACAAAGCCTTTTTTATTGTTGTTCATATTATTATGGGTAAAGAAAACCTTACCATGTAAACTAAAATTCAGTACCCTATCCTTTTTTTTCCCCGAATGTTCCAGAACAAAGTAAATGTGCAAATTTAAATATATGGTGCAGTTCTTGTACAGAAAGAAGACCGCGTACTGACTTTTTCAATCTCATTTGCAGAATGTCCTTTTCTCAGAAGAAGAAGGAGAGTCGTTGTCATTTGACGAATGTATGCAGTTGCTTGCAGAGACATTCCCTTTGGTAGAAGACATTCAGGTAAAAGGACACCTTTTATAATTAAGAGCACCTCTGCTTTTCACTTGGCACCATATCAAAACTCAGTTATAACTACATTCTTTTTATTTCCGAAGGTGCGGTCAATTCCTTGCCTTTAGTGTGCCTTTTCTTGTATTTTTGTAGATTAATACTGTGTACTCCTCCCGTTTCAGCCTTCAACACCGTCACTGGATTCTGCGGTCACACTTGGGGCAGGGAGCAGCCAGGTCTTAATGGCACCCCACCAGCCACAGCAAGTTCATCCTTCTCTACTCACCTCCTCACTGCCTGAACAGAAAACTGTTCAAGACTTGGAGCAGGCTTGGCAGGAGTTACTTTCCATCCCAGAGCTGCAGGTAACTACAATAGACAAATTCATACTCTGCAATAGGAAGAGATTGTAAAAGTAACAAACACCCAAAGAATTCTGCTGTGGAATAAGCCAGCTATTCAGAAGACAAGCACACCTTTGTTCTATAGATATTAAAAGGACATGCAGGCAGCAGATGCACATCGGTAATTCTTCTGCGATCAAATTACCACAGTTCAGGCTTTTAAAATATAAAGAAGGATACTTAAGATCCCTTGATGCAAAGCTGGGATGTAAAGGGTCATATATCCTCTCAAAAGAATTTTCTTTTAAGTGCAGAACAAACATTGAGAGTTCTCTCTGATGCAGTATCTCTAGAGAAGACTGTGAAGCATTAAACCTAAATAAAGAAATTCTCTTATTTGAGTAATTCTTAAAAATCGCCGATTACCACATTTTGATTAAATTGTATTTTTGTTGCCTTTTACACCATTTTGTTTGGCTTTATTGCATAAAAAATACAAAACCTAGCATTGTACTGTGGAAATTCCCAGTTTGATTGGGGTTCCTACTCTGGTAATCACCTGTATGTTCTCAAATGACACAAACTATAAAAGTATTTCATTTCCTTTTTTTTTCTGTGGAGAGAGCCATCTCTATAATACTGAACCGGTGATCTCTGTAAACAAGTCACCTTGATTTTTAAAAATTTTATTTCTACTGTTAAAGCTGTTTTGTAAATTGATATGGCATTTGGAAATACCTTTTCCAAATATAAATTTTGCAAAATTTCCTTTTTGACAAATATCATATGTCTCCTAAAAAACACTTTAAATTGGAATGTTAAAGAAAAATGAATAGGACAAGCATAGGCAAGAAATGAATTTTGCAATTCTGTTTAAGGAATGGAAGATACTATTTAAGAAGCAATAAACTGTATTTTGAAAAAAATCTTAGGTGAAAAAAATATTCTGTGCTGATCTGTTTTTAATGAGATGTTCACAAAATGTTTCCGGCGTATTCCCAACTAAATTCCGATCAGCAGTATTGCTTACTTCCTAACACAGTTATGTTAATTTGTTGATAGGGGCATAAAACAAGTGAACATACTCTTTTTCTTTCTTTTTATCTAGCAGTGCCTTAGTATGCCACTCGAAGACATGACTGATTTGACAGGCTACACAACCACAAACAAGCCTCCAGAGCTACAGAATGCAAATTACAACTACTACATGTCCAACCCTGATGAAGTTGGAGCAAACACACCAGATACTCTGTGCCCTTCGGGATTTCTCAACACATTTGAAAACTGCTATACCAATCTTGTTCCCCCGGAGAACCTCAACCAGATGACACTGAATGTCTCAGATCTAGGCGCAGCCTTCAACACTGATAACTTCTGTGATGTGTTCTATCCTGACCTTCAACTCAACTCAAAAGCACATGGTAACATTCCGCCAGCAAGCACTGGAAACAGCCCACAGGCTGAAGTTCAGAGTGGGCCACCACCAAAACCAATGGACATCACCGAGTTTACACCGGGGGATGGTTTTGAGAACAGCAAGCCTCAGAAACTGACAGAATTTCATGATTCTGACTCTGGGCTGTCAATGGATTCAAGTCCTAATGCGGCCTCACCACAGAAGTCCTCTATTTATGGTGACACATCCTTTGGGTATAGTGATTCTGACCTTGAAGAGATGGACAGCGATTCTGGGAGTTCCCCATCCGAGCACACAGAGATGTTCCCGATGTCATATCACATGGACGGCTATCAAGTACCACCTTCTACTCCTCCACAGGCAGGTGAGTCACTCAGCCTCACATCGAAATTACAGAAGAAGGAGCTGCCAGCAAGCCCTGGGCATAGCAAGCCTCCGTTTACCAAAGACAAGCAAAAAAGCCGCGCAGAATCTCGTCTCTCACGAGATGAGCAGCGAGCGAAGGCACTTCAGATCCCTTTCTCCGTTGACAAGATCATTAACCTTCCTGTGGATGACTTCAACGAAATGATGTCCAAGCAGCAGCTCACTGAAGCACAGCTGGCTCTGATCCGGGACATACGCAGACGGGGCAAAAATAAGGTGGCGGCGCAGAACTGCCGCAAGCGCAAAATGGAAAACATCGTGGGACTGGAGTACAACCTCGACTCGCTGAAAGAGGAGAAAGAGCGGCTCCTGAAGGAGAAGGGGGAGCACGACAAGAACATCCGGCAGATGAAGCAGCAGCTGAACAGCCTCTACCTGGAGGTCTTCGGTATGCTTCGCGACGAGGATGGCAAGCCTTACTCGCCCAGCGAATATTCGCTGCAGCAGACATCTGATGGCAGCGTTTTCCTTGTTCCCCGTAGCAAAAAAACAGTTCTGAAGAAAGAAGTGAATTAGCGCTTCTCTGCATACATGGACATTATTTTTATACTGCAAAGTTGTGATATCTGTACCAATTATGCTCTAATAACACTATGCAAAAGAAAAAAAAGTCCTTTTTAGCCATTAAATTGCTTTCAGACAATGTAACAGCAAAATTAACATATAGTATATGCATACTGTATATTAGTATGCTGATGTCTTAATTTTCCAAATCTACTTTTTCTTTTGTACTGCTGTTTTTTTTTAAATGTTTCCGTTCCTTGGTATGGTTTGTAAATACATTTCTATCTCATTTGCTATTGAACTATGAAATTTATAGCACATTTTAGTATGCTAATGATTTTGGTTTTGTTGCCAGTCATGGTATAACTTTAAAAGTCTTTTCTAAATGATTTCCAAATTAACTGTTCAACTGCAGTTTATTTCCTTTGTGCTTTATAAAAAAAATAAACTATTTACTGTAAATGGCTGCGTTGCACTTACAAGTGTTTATCTCTTTGTTTTGTGTTGTCACAGGGCTGTTTTGTTGTCTTATCTCCTGGCATCAATGAATCAACAAATCAACAAATCTCCGGTACAAAAAATATAGATCGGGGTTAGGACTCCTAATGCTGGTCCATGTGAATCTCTAAATTAACTAGTTTTCATGCCAGTTGAGCTCTAAGCCACCATTGCAGTCATTTTAACTGATCTGCTTGCTTGTTAAAACTGAACTATTTTTTGCACTTAGTCCTCGGTTTAAAAAAATATTTGTGGTATTTTGGTTACCAACGGCTTCAGCATACAGAACGTAATACAGTCCTTCCAATATTTCACAACTTGATTAATTTGTAAAAAACATCGGTGAAAATGATAGCGTATCAATCACTCCCACGATGAGCATTTCATTACTTCTGCAGACATCCAACCAGTTACATGAATGAGGGCAGTTCAGAAACTCTAGTCAAGGGCCGATACCAATTTTATGTACCATTTGACCTTTTTAAATCTGCAAGAAAGTTTTAAAATACACCTCAAATGGCAAGTGAAATCCATTAGCCTGTGATTAAGAATTCAATGGAGCAAGGAACTGGAAAACACATCCTGGATTAGAAACCATCTAACCGTACATAAGGCAGAAGGTTGTGGTAAAATTCATAAACAATTATGATCCGAGTATAGTGCACACAAGGCTATAAACACACACTATGGAAATCTAGTGTACTCAGTAATGACTTGGGAACTTTATATCAACAAATATTCTAGTTTAGACGGAATGTACATGCCCGTTTGTTAGGCCATTTTGTGTGTCTGAAGGAAATGTTTGCAAATATAAATGCATTCATTTATTCAGACAAAATCCTGTTCAGCACATTTATATGATAAATGTAAGCACCACAGATGTTTGCAGAACTGAGGTAATAACAGCTGCTTTCATGCTGTTTGCCCTAAATAATCTAAAGAAACTAGAATATACAAATGCAAACTGGCAATTAATTATATATGAAATGTTAAATAATTTTTTTGTAAAGCCAGACAGATAAAAACAGGACATCGTTGAGATTACACACAGATTACACACATGTTCTTGGCACTTGCATAGCAACATTTCTCCAATGTCTTTATCACATGAACAGCAGCCTGTTTTCTGTTGTACTCTTCAGCATTCCCGTGGAATTAAGTAAAACAAATTGCTTGTTTCTTAAGTAAATGATTCTTCTTGCAACACCATCTCTTTTATACCAGTTCACACGTGTGACTTACAATCTTTAAAAAAACCTGTAGCCTTAGAGGTATTGAAAATCCATAACCTGGTTGATAAAATACAGTTCACCTGAGGCATTTATCAAATATACCAGCAATTTAAATAGAAATTGAGTTCCAGGTAATCCCTTTTTTATGTAAGAGTACAACTGAGTAGTACAATGTTTATTGTAAATTCACCTAATATGGAAAATTCAGTTACTAAATATAATGTGATAAATATTATTTTAAAACATTCTTTTATACTTCATTCTTTACTCTGTGAAGGATTATTAACTACATACCTAAAGTAGATTATTGGCAGGTTTTCTTCCAAAAGTGTGTTTAGACCGGGAATTGCTTAATTTTTAGGGAAAAGAGTACAGATATACAGATAAGAAAATGTTCAGTTTGGACTGACGTACTTTGTAATTAGCACCACAGGAATTTATACTGGGACCACTGTTCTTCCCAATTCATAATAATCACCTAGATTTTGGTAGATTTGGTAAAATAGTCAAGTGTGAGGAGGATTAGCACACCGCAGAAAAAGCAAATGAAACTCAAAACATTTTAGATGAAATTCACAACAGATAACATTTAATGTAAACAAGTGCAGAATGTTATGTGCATGCAGCAAAAACAAAACGGTAAATGGCAAATGCTGATTTTAAAAATGCTACATATCATTTACACGTTCTAGACAATGTGCAAAAGAAATAAAAAAGACAAGTTAATATTTTAATTAATATTAGTGGATAGTTAAAAGTGTAGAATTAAAGATGTTAAAATTGTACAATGCACTAGTAAGACTTAATTTAAGAATACTGTGTACAGTTGTGGTCACCATGTCACAAAAAATATAACACTACTCTGGAATCAGTTTGAAAAGAACTGCAAACTGGGTTTAATGAAATGTCCTACACTGACAGTCCTCTCTGTTTAAGACTCCTCTCTTTTAGCTGATCGAAATATTCACAATTCTCTCACAAGTAATTCACAAGTTACTGACAAAGATAGCCCAGGGAACTTCTTCAGTATCAACAATTAAATATGAACCAATGGCCCCAAATGGAAAACTGTTTTTTTTTTAGTCATGTTATTGAAGCAAAAACCCTGGCTTCTTTCAAGAAATAGTTGCATGAGATCCTAGCTGAGATGAATGAATCGGTCTTACCTTACCTTAACATAATGAACTCCACTGTTCATCAGGCAATACGGCAATTTTAAATAGCTGTATTTCACAGTTTGTGCTCTTCTTATGAAACATCAGTTAAACGTGTCTCCAAACCTAACTTGAATAATCTTGCTTTTTTTCCTTGAATATCAGTCTTGGGTAAGAGAAAAATCAAGGGTTTCTGATAAAAGTGACACAGAACAGCAAAAACCAATGAATTTTGCCATTAATTCTTTTTCTCATTCTTGTGTTTTTTTTAATACATTTCTCCACATACAGTAAGAGGCCCTTACGAAGCAAAAACATGTCAAATGAAAACTCGTAATCTTATGAACTTTAAACACTGCAAGGATTTTTAAAATTAATTTATTTGGTTGACAATTTTATCCAAAGCAACAAACATTTCTACCTATTTATACAACAAGGCAATTCCAAGTGAAACATCTTACTCGAGGGTACAACAGTAAATTTTGATCTAAATCCACACACTGCTGCCTTAAAGGCAACAGCATAGTTGGTATAACCTCCTAATCAAGCTGGATTTGGTTAAGAAAAAACTGACAGATATTTCATTAATTATTTTTTACAGTTAAAAAGTTAACCAAAATGAAAAGTTTAAGATGATGGATACAAAAAATACAGGACTGCAAGTTTTAGAAAAAATATCTTTATTTAACAGAATAAAGTAGAGAGTGTTAATTCTATGTATAGCTCAAAGATGTATTCCAGGAAGGGTTTCATTTTAATTTGGTGCAGAACTACTCCTATAAAAAAAAGGTGTTTTCTAACATGTGTTCATTTCCTCAATTCCAACAATATGGTCACACTAAATTTGCTTAATGCACTAGGAACAAACGAGTACTGTAATGAGAAGTAAAATCTTCTGGGATATAGAACAGAACCTCATGAAAATCTGTCAATGAAAAACAGAACGAAGCTACATCTATAATGTTATATTTAATGAACAGCTTTACTACCACCAGTATTATGCCATCAACGAATACTGATGGTCTCTCATTCAGTCTGTTAAGGTTTCAGGCAATCCAGTTTCATTCAAATTCTATAGCTATCAAAACCATTTAATAATGCAGAGAATTCGTACAGATTTGTAAGGGTGCTCAAGTTGTTAAAAATGCAGCATTATAAATTAACAAGTAATGTTATTTGGGTCACTACCCACTATTGCCGAAGACAAGGAACTACTTAATTCATACACTGTGCAGAATCTAAAGCTTTATGCTCTGTCTGCAAAACGCTAGACTGCTAAAATGGTTACTGTTTATTTTGTTGAATACTCATGAGTTATATATATTTAAATGTGAAAGCAAAATACATTGAAGAAAGATTTTCATTCATAGAAGAAGGAATTTTCAATCCCAAATCTCTTAACAAACCCTTCTGGTATTGAATCTTTTACAATGGTGCATCAGTAACTGAACAGTACACAATTTGAGTGTGGTGCTTGCAGTAAATTAATGCAGTTATATTTGACATTTGCAAACTGTTACCTTTGATTTCAAAGGTCTGACCAAGTGCAGAATTTGACATCAAACCATTTAAAGTTTTTTTTTATCAAACTGTATAGGGTTCAAAAGTTAATTTCACTAGTAGCACAGGATATGTTCAAAATATGGTAAATGCACTCCCAAGGTCTTCTACTTAATTGTTTTTTTGGATGTTAGACATCAGGTAGTTTCAACAAAAGTATGAGATTCAGTGTTTTGCTCATGTTCATAAATGTAAACATACATTTTAGAAGACATGCAAACAGTGGCAAAAGAGCCACGTAGCGTAATTCGGACAAGAAACTTCTGATAATATTTCACCTTAGCTATTTGTAGGTTATGTTTTAAAATATAATTCAGCTGATTTATCCAATTCAGGGTCACGGGGAAGCTGGAGCCTGTCCCAGCAAGCTTTGGGCTCAAGGCAGCATATACCCTGAAAGGGACACCAGTCCATCGCAGGGTACACACAAACATGAACACACTCATATCGGGCCAATTTTCCGAGACGCCAATTGAACTACCAATATGTTGTTGGACGAAGACGGAGATTGGAGTACTTGGAAGAAACCCAAGCAAACACAAAGAGAACATACAATCTCCACACAGATAGCTCCCCAGGAATTGAACCCAGGGCCCCAGCGCTGCGAGGCAGAAATGCTAACCACAGTGCCGCCCATTTTTGTATACCTTATATACCTTAAATATAAAAAAATCCTTCGCCTTACCCATCCAGAACCTTCGATGTTTACGTGTCATAAAAGATTTTCATTCGTAAAGCAGACAGCTTCATATTCCATCTGTAAATCAAGCAAAGTGGTTACTCTTACCTTTTCCTAAGTTATGGCTCCATCTTCTTTATTTCAAAATACTTATTGAGAAAGCAAACCTTATACTCACTCCCCTTCCTTTCAGGTCTGACAGCTAGACCTAGCGTGCATTTTCTCTGTCAACTGAAGTAGCTACGACTCAAGGTGACTCCAAATGCCGTGGAACTCTTCCTAGACTTTCTTCCATATCGTCAGCTGCTCTTGGAAGATATAGCTAGCCTCCAGAAAGTCGCTCACTATCAGCACAGTTAGGGCATGCTTTCCTCGAAGATGTAGCTGTTGGTGCTGCCTCGTCTTTGTGTAATTTTAGGCTGACTGGTCCACATTGCTCAGGCAGAAGAAGTCCTGTCTTAAGTCACGTGTTTTCATCCAATTGTCTAATGAAGCCCAACTGCAGTCTGAAGTGGTTTTATTCTGCATGTTATAGTCTGTCACTTGCTGGGTTTTTAGCACCACTCTAGAACTAGCAGTAGCTTCACTTCATCGTGATACAAAGAAAACAAAAAACTTTGCTGTAGGCATTTAAAAGAACTACACTTGACAAAATGGATATGAAACAGCATGACAATACACACATCAACTTTGTATTCTGAACCAATGATGCACTATACTTCATCAGACAATTTACTAGACAACTTTATTACATCTGTTGGTCACTTCTCAAAATCTTTTAACAATCTAGAGATCTTGCTCTTCATACATGATTTAAAATATAGAGCTGCATAAAACATAAAAATCTGACCTTTTGCACCCCATTTACTAATATTCTAGTTCAGAGTTAACACTAAAACGTTTTAAAAAATTACTTGATAGTAAAGCAAATCAATCATAACAATGTTGTTTTAACAATGATACCTTGCAGCGCACCACACGGTCAAGTTCTTCTTACTTGTTTCTATTTAACCCATTTAAAGCTCTACAGAAACAAAAAGAAATGTGTATAACCATGGAAACTGGTAACAATCTCCAGTTAAGACACTTTAATGACTCAATGGAAAAACTGACTACAGAAGTTGAGTTAAAAAGGGTTGCTTGATTTTATTCCTGACATCACTACCACAGTTTACATGGGAATTATATTTGTAAAACAAAAAACAAAAAAATAAAAATAAAAAATCTAGCAACAAATAAGACCTTAAAGGAATGTACATCTAACAGACACTGGGTTTCTTTAGTCAGTAGCTACACTCTTGCACTCTGTAGCTAGTGGATACAGTCCTCAACAAGAAAAGTTCTCCTGTTTAAGCTGCGGTAACTTTCTGACTAGGGATCCTGGCTCCTTCTGTGGCAGACTTAGTTCCTCTAATGCACTTGGACGACTGTCTCATAGTAACCTGCAGCTTTCCTGACAAATCCTTGCTCATCTCCTCTCCTGCTAAGAACTGTAGCCTGTTGAATGGATACAGGATAAGAAGATTATTATTCTAAGTTCACAATAAGTATTCTATACAAAAGAGAAATACTGAAAGCAACTTACCATATCTACTAAAATTTAATATCTCCGTGTACTGTATCCACCTCCACTTCCTCCTCCTGAACCATAGCCACCTGGTACAAATGAAAACCATGTAATCTTTAAGAGCTCTGTCCAAACACTGTCCAGAAAATTCAAAACAAAACATAAACCTTTTCCATCAAACAGTGATAAAGTGTGCTTACCACCATAGGGACCACCTGAATTCCGGCCACCAAAATTGCTGCCTTTCATAGGCCCATAGTTAGAGTTGTGTCCACCATAACTTCCAAAGTCATTGTAGTTTCCACCACCACCACCAAAGTTTCCTACAAAAAACAAAAGGTATAGACTATCAACAACATTCCTGAGCTAAAGAGAAAAGCGTACACTACCAGGATGAAGAAATGGTTTTTTTAGTTTCAATCAGAGAAGATTAACTAGAGGATCTGATCCAAGTATAACCAAGTCCAGTGGACCGCTTCAGAGTGACTTAAACACAAACCAGGGGAAACAAGGAAACTAAGTGGAAGTGCATTTAAAAAATGACACTTTTTTCATCAAAGGGCTGTGGGAGTACAGAACAAGCTGCACAGCCATACTGTAGAAGCCGATACTCTGGTTTCTTTCAAGAAATGGTTGGATGAGATCTTTTGATCAATTAGCTACTACCAAACTATATCGGCTGAACGCCTCTTCTTTGTAATCCTTCTTATTTAACAAATTGCATACTGGAATTTCTTTATGCAAGATGTTTCCTAATTTTGTAAACACTCATAAACACTTTGTTACGCAAGCTACAAACACTGCCTTGCCTAATGAACACAAGTACTTTTCTTTCCAGGATTTCATAAAAGGGTGAGTAAATATCCCAAGCTGTATTTTAAAAACAAAAGGCCATCTTTACAAGCAACTCCCACTAACAACTTGACTTGCTTTCACTGTATGACTTGTTTCATAAATCATTAATTCCTCTTTCCCAGTTTTTGCCATTTTATATACTTTCACTCCCTCAATCATGTATTAGAATCTCTAACTTTTATTGTCTGTACAGCCGGTTTCTCACCTCTTATACAAGAGAGTTCATCAAATTTGAGTTAATCGAGTTCAGGAATATCCAAAGTTTTTTTTAATCTAAGCAAAACCACTAATAACAAACTGCATAGCGGGGAAGTTCTCTGAATCTCAAAAATTAGCAGCCATAAGAATTTAAAGGCTTACCTCCAAAGTTGCCTCCATCATTGTAATTATCATATCCTCCAAAACCTCCTCCTTGGTTACCATATCCTGGTCCACCTCCCCCGTAGCCACCTCGCCCTCCACCATACCCAGGGCCACCTCCATAGTTTCCCCCTTGAAAAAAAACATGAACCTAAGGAGCTCTAATCTTTAAAAAAAACATCAGATGTAAAAATAAATGTAAAAATCATATCAAAATTCTAAAATCATCTACAACATCTGGTCATTTGCATTTCCAAGTGACAACAGACAGAATCAATCAATAAACTTAGCAGACAAACCATTACTACGCTGCATTTTTCAATTTCACTACATATTCAGACAATACCTAAAGATATTGTATATGGGAAAAAAACTGGATTAAATTTCTGATTATTTAAGTACTTTCTTTTAGAAAACGAACGATTTTTTACTATTTCAGAAAGCACTTACCATCTCCACCAAATCCATTGTAGCCACCTCCATCACCTCCATACCCTCCTCTGCCCCCTCCATATCCTCCTACAAAATAAAGATTTAATTAAAGCCAAACTTCTTTCCACTGTACACCACAAGCAATCATTCTGGACTTAGCCCTACCAGAAAAGTTGCCACCACGGCCAAAATTGCCTCCTCCGAAGTTTCCACCTCTACCCATGAAGTTCCCAGAGCCGCCGCCACCACGACCTAGAAACAGCAGAATGCGGTAAGACTATATAGTAACAGCCATAAGAGAATAAAAACAGGAATATATCAATCTAACTGCAAAATACAAAAACTTTCAAAAGTTTTTTTAAAAAACGTCATGATCTTCGATTTAAGAGAAAACACTACTATATGATTCAAAACGAATTCTACTTAATTCCACTTACTTCTCTGGTTTGCAGCAGCCTGCATTTCTTGTTTTGATAGTGCTTTTCGGACTTCACAGTTATGTGAATTGATTGTGTGATATTTTTGGGCTGCAAAACAATTAGAATTCGATTTTAAAAGATCACTTTAAATGAATGCATACTGTAGTACTTTTACTGTCAAATATATGAGCACTACTGGAAACATTTAAAACACAGGGAGTTGACAAGAAATGGCAACACCAATGTAAAGTCACTTAATAGGACCACACTTTGGCCTTGCCCTATAATGTAATGAGAGTAGCCAAACCATACCAGGATAATACATGCCAAACTATGTTGGAAGACCAGAACACCCTTCCCTGTTGGAGCCAAGCACTTCAAATCTGTAGGATTCTTGAAATTGGTCTAACATGTACGTGTCCTTTTGTCAAGAATAGGGTGAATGACAAATCATGTGACCGTATCACTTTTCTCCACTGCCAGGACTTGCTGTACCACTGGACTAACATGCATTGCCAGGTGTGATGAGCAGCTTGCGCGTTGCAACCCAACTATGGAATCCAGCTCTCTGGATTTCTTGTTTGGACTGTTTTGGGCAAAACCGGATGCTCGTGCCCCAGGTTGAGATGTGCAGTCAATGAATCTGCAGTTCCTTGCCCATTTTGCCCTGTTCTTCCAATTCATGCAGGCCTATCTTGATCCTGAATGCTCTTCTGCTCACTGTTGCCCTGTTGTTGATGATGTTTTTCCCTCAGAGCTCCATGCTGACATCACGTTAGACACCTCAGCTCGTGAAACATCAGCAAGTTGACCCATCTTGGTCACTGAAGCTCCTGTCAAATGCACCTCAACAATCACCTCTCTTCCAAAATCACTGAGGTCCCCTCTTGTGCCCAAGGTTAACTATAATTACAGTCAACCAGGCCTTTTTTATTCTTGACCCTAATTATAAGGAGATGGTATATGTTTAACTCCTGAGCCACAACCATGTAAAAACCCTTGCTTTTAATATAAGTGCATGTTATTGCCTTGCTTACAGGGACAAGAAACCCTTTTTATAACTATGTAATTTCATTATTAGTCAAGTTTTTTTCATATACCTACCCACAATTTTATCAACTGTGTCATGGTCATCAAACGTTACAAAGCAAAAACCCCTTTTCTTTCCAGTCTGGCGTTCCTCCATTACTTCAATGCTTTCAATTTTTCCATATTTTTCGAAGTACTCTCTCAGATGGTACTCTTCTGTATCCTCTTTTATCCCTCCAACAAATATTTTCTTTACTGTTAAATGAGCACCAGGTTTTGAGGAATCCTGCAAAAAGTACAAGCAATCAGCCTTGTTTCTTCCAGTAGTCAGCTACTGTTGTAGCAGCAGGTAGGGAACACTAATAATGAATCACGCAAGGCTTACTTCTCTGGAAACAGCTCTTTTTGGCTCAACAACACGGCCATCAACTTTGTGTGGGCGGGCTGACATGGCTGCATCTACCTCCTGCACACAGGAGTACGTCACGAATCCAAATCCTCGCGAGCGCTTGTTTGCTGGATCTCGCATGACCTGAAAGGCATTCCCCCACAACAAATGAGCACAATGAAATAATTTTTGTTTAATCACTTCTGGCAAGGAGTCAGTTGATATTCATAACTCTTAATCCTGTCGCCAGAAAAAAATTTACAGAAAAACCTGATACAATTTTACTTCCCTTAAAAATATGCTTTATAAGAGTATTACCTGTTCTACCTATTTCCTTGAGGGGTGATTATCAATCCCAAAGTGCTAGATTAAAATTGTTATCTTGTTTCTACATCATCTTATCTCGGTGTTTCTTAAGGTTAAGGTTTTTAGCTGTTTATGATTTTAAAAGCTTACCACACAATCTGTGAGCTTCCCCCATTGTTCGAAATGTGCCCTCAAGCTCTCGTCTGTGGTTTCAAAACTCAGACCCCCAATGAACAGTTTCCTCAGCTGCTCTGGCTCCTTGGTGTCATGGCTCTGTCATTTAAAAGTAATAAGGTCAGTGGTGGAACAAAGACTGGGGTTGAATATGGACATTAATAACTACAACACCTCTAATTTTTCAGGTCATAAAGTTTCTAGTTTAGTCTGAGGTGAAACAGGCCATCTCAAATTCTAATGGCCTTGACTGTCAAGCATGCTTATGTTCTATGTCAGGGTTACCCAAGTCCAGCCCTGGAGTCCAGCAAGTTTTACAGGTTTGCACCTGAGGAGATCAGAAGAGCTATGTTCCTGCACCAATTAAATCACTGGAATGTTAAAATCCGAATTGGAATAAAAATCTACCGGACTCTGAACCGCAAGAACTTAACTTGTCCAATCCTGTTGCGAGTGCTCATACTGCAGGGATCTCTTTCGTGTGTTCAATGCCCCCAAGTTAACAGAATCCACTGAGTGCTGTAAGGCAGTGGCAGGAGCATTTGATCATATTAATACTGCATGCAAGAAGAAAAGGCTGCACTCATTAAAAAGCAAGCCTAAGATCCCCCTAATAAGAAAGATGCATATATAGAGAGATTAAGTATAAATAATAGGGATAGGGAAAAAGTATTTTCTCAAAGCTCACAAAATATGTACTGTATAATAGGAATGGACCTAGAGCTGATATTGTTGTTTGCATCACTAGATACTGCACATTTGTTATTGAAATGCTAGAAGTTCCAAAACAATAAGGCAGGCACTTCTTAAACATTTTTTTTCACTTAATAATTTTTGAATACATTGTGGCACTTTAGAGCTGATGAATCCGAGATACCTTTCTGCAAAAAAAGAACCCTGGTATTTTTCTCGATCTGAATTTATTTACTGTTTTTTTAAGGCCAGATTAAAACCACACCTTTTCCGTTGACTATTTCCTAAATATTAGCTAAAAGGGAAGAGTGGGTTGTGGGCTTATACTTTATAACTGTTTCAATGGTTTGGGGTATACAAAATGCTATCATTTTTGTTATCATTTCCGCGGTTTTTATTTCATTGTATCTACTTGATGTTTGTATGCATGTTCGCTACTGTATCAATTTCGTCTTTTGAATATACAGCGCTTGATAGCTGGGATACACTTAGAAAAAATCGGATGTTTAAGATTTCCTGCTTGAAGATAACGTATTATTCAGCTAACATATCAAAAGATTAAAGTTTAAAAAATAAGACGCGGAGAAATTGGTTATTTTATTCCCTACACAATTATTTGTACTATCAGACACAGACGACATACAGCTACCGAGCCACATAAAAGATACGGATTTCCAGCGCTCCCTACTCTATCCGGTGTTTTACGGAGAACAGGGCGTTTAGTCGACAAATTCCAGATGTGTGCGTCTAGACAAGACAGAATAAGTTCTCTATTAAAGTAAAAATTATCATGAAAACATTCCCTACTATTTGTCGTCTGTCATTTATTATACTAAACAAATGCATATATAAATGACCAAGCGTCTAGAAGTTTCTGTGAAAACGAATCCATGCTGCGCCATTTTAGCTTTCAGACTATTCCTCCATATTGTAAGCGGTGTTTAACAAGTATGCACCAAACCATTTACCCACGACAGTTCTCCCGTTTTAAAATAACCATGCACTATATATGCTTAAGAAAATATTAATCATTTATGACTCTTAAGACAGACAGCATACATGCACTTAAACTGCGTTCAAGTAAACTAAAACAGCTATTTTCGAAACAGAAAACACTACCATCATTTTTCAAAATAAAACCGAAGCATGCATTTATTGTACTCGACATTCAACAACGGGAAAGCCCGAAGGAGCCATTGCAAGAATCGTCTGAGGTTGAAATCATGCATCGTAATATAAAAATACACAGTTTAATTCGCTAGGCTAAATATACCTATAACGTCTTTGAACATCATGAATGGAAATGTTTAAAATTTAAAAAAATATGAACCTCCATTTTGCAGTGAACTCCTTTTCTCCTCGCTTCTGAACGGAAGAAGGAAGTGCCGATCTCCACGTGATGCATGTTCATCAGCTACTCAATAATTTACTATGGTGCCAACCCCTTAAAAATCGCATTTATTGCAGCACACTAGATCACCACGGTTAATAATGTAAGTAATCATGGAGTATGTGGTTCGTACGGGTTCTTTTAAACACTCAGTTTCATTTTTTTTAAATGATACTGTACTGTAAATACCTTTATTTCACGATTGCAATTTGAATATCGTTTCAACGCTCAATATGGTTACTGTACAACAACACTACACCAAATAATATTTAGAGAAAAACCTGCTTCCCTACCGTCTTTCTGAAGTTTAGAGTGGCCTCAAAATAATAATAAAATGAAATTAAATGTAATAATTATTGTCTGGACCTATGAAGTAAGTGTACATTGCTGTGTACAGTGAATACAAACCTATTCCATATCCGAACATCCTCGAATCAAAGATACGTACAATGAGAAGTAGGACTTACAGTTTTATGTGAAGTGCTGTTTTTAAATTGTGTTGCCGTGCTCTGCATAGATATTTTAGATACTGAAATGCACATTAATAATAACCTACAGTATAATTTATCTTGCACCTTTCATGGTTTTTCATCTCAAGGCACTGCACAGAAAAAAAAACAGTGCACAAATTAAACAGTAAAGGACAAAAGTAGGATTATGGTTGTGTGTTTTATGATGGGATTTGAAACTGGTGATCACCTTGCAAGATCTGATATGATCTGGAGATCATTCCACAGTCTGGAACAACAGCCTCGTATTAGGATCTGAAAGAAAGCCAGAAAATGAAGAGCACAGATGACTTGTACAGTATACTCTAGGTGTGTAGAGGCTCATTAATGTACTGCCAAACAGTACAAACCCTTAAAGGTGAGCAGCAGTATTTTATTCTGAAATCTGCAGGGAACCAGTGTAAGAAAGTTAAACCATGTCATATATATGCTCATGTTTTAGCTTGTGTAAGTTCACTCTGAATGATACAGTACCTTATGAATAACTACGTATAAAACCTAATAGCACCTTTGCAATACAGCCAAAATCTTGGGTGGAAAGAAAAATCTATGTACTGAACACACCATCCATTTCACACTACATATGACATATTGTATATGTATTTACTGTACAATTTGCCGTTCCATACACTGGTGAGCTGATGTTCACTCTGTGGAAAACCCTGAAAAAAGAGTCAGGACCACAAGCTAAAACAGTGGCACAGAGCGCACAAAGCAAGTAAAACTGGAAGTTTAAAATAGAAAATACAAATTTTGGAGTCTAAATTGAGAACTTCTAATCATATTAACAGTAAGGTTTATAGCTAAACAATAAGCCCGTATTTAAGGAAGTCCTGGACTAATATTGCAATTGATTACAATTGTTACTGCCAGGGTGGCACAGTGTGTAGCATTGCTACCTTGGCTTTAATTCTGCTCCTGGGGTGCTATCTGTATGGAGTTTGTATGTTGTCGCTCTGGTCATGTGGGTTTCCTCTGAGGGGTCTGGTTTCCTCCCACAGTCCAAAAACATATTGGTGCTTTGGGTTAATTAGCTTCTGGGAAAACTGGCCCTAGGTGTGAGTCAATGTGTATCTGTTTGTGTGTCGATGGACTGATGTCCCATCTAGGGTATACCCTGCCTTGCGCCTGTTGCTTGCCATGACAGGCTCTGACTCCCCTGCAATCTGAATGGCAAGAAACAGTTAGAAAATTGATGGATGTTACTAACAATTGTAATTCAAGGCTACTGATCCTGATCAGGAGGTTCAGGCCTTCCTTACCTGAAAGTCAGGACAGGTAGTGGGCAGGTCTTCTCGGAAATTTCCTCCAGGTTGCTTTGTTTTCAGGTCAATACTCATAATTTGGCAGACTAGCTGAATTTGGTAGATTCTAGGGCAATTTAAAAGAGTTGGCAACCCAAGTTATAGTTTAGTACCATGTTCTGGAAGTTAAAGTGATGTCGAGATACGATTTTTAGAACTGTTTTCTTTTTTTAATTTTCATAGGATTCCCTTCATCTGTAATGCGATTTGTAATTTACTTGTAATTTGTAATTATTTGTAATAATAAATAGTAATTTAGATGGAGAAAGAATGGGAGATATTCATGAATTATAGACAATTGCTCAAGTTTTTGATTGATATTAAATCTGGGATTTTAAAAAAAGGGCTTATGCTTAGTCTACAGTAGAATACAATGCCTCCATATTGAATTATATAAGAGGGCGTTGAAAGGAGATTAGTATTCTGTTTTCAGAATTTATGGATAAAGGCAGTGTGATCTGATTGCCTAGGTACTGTTAGCGAAAGGTATTAAAACAAAATTAATGACATTTACTTTTTCAAATATAAACATTTAAAAGATTCAAGGTAGATAAAAGATGACCTAGTAGCAATCATTTTTATGTACAACGATCACACGCAATTCAAATGTTTCCTGAAACACACCTCTTTACTCTCCTGCCTAATAAATCTTAGTTAGATTCAAAGGAAAATGTTGGTGACAATCTGATTTCTTTTCAGGAGACTTTATGAATCAAGTATTTGATTTAGGTGTGTGGACATGCAATAAACATTCCAAGTTGCCAATCTGGCAGCTGCAGATAAGTACTTTTTGTGAGGCACAAATATTTAACCCTTCACCTAGTTCACCACCATGTAGCCTCACTTAGCCCTTTTGGATTCGTTTTTTTTGCAATGTGGGGTTTTTACACACCCTTCATACAGTAGCTGTAAGTATGTACAAATAATCAGTGGTTCTTTACCTTTACTGCAGCCTGCACCCTTATGAAAATGTGCTGTAGAAGGCCCGTTCTTTAAACGTAAGATATATCCAAACTATATAATGAAATAGACAGACTTATGTATTTATAGTAATTTCACAATAAAATTAAGAATATGTAAAAAATGGTCACTTTTTAAAACATTGAAACACCAAAGTTTGATAAAACAAAGTTATGTGCTTACAAGACCAGACTTAGGTTGTGTTTGCTTCTGTGATTTACCATCTAAAAAAATCTGGCATTTTTCACCCTCAGGTTAAGAACCACTGTATTACACTACGTTGACTAAACTTTCCTTCTTTCTTTTTAACAAAGTGCATGCATGCCAAGATGAAATGAGGAATAGAGTGCCATCTACTGGACAGTTTATTACAAGTTACCTTTTAAATTCAGATCACCTTGTTGAAGCTTCTAATTAGCTTTATGACTCAACATCAAGAGCCACCAATTAACACTGGACTGATTAAAAGGTTTCTGTTAGCATTGCAAATATAATTTAAACCCAGTGAACCATGACCAGAGCTGTTATCTTGTTTTACACTTGTAAAATGCATTTATGATAAACAACATTACAATATTTATTAATTACAATATTTATGGTATTTTCCTGTGTAGAACACTGCAGGACACTGGTTCTCAAGCACTGGAGTTGCCCAACTAGGACATCTTGATGCAGGTAACATCACCCAATTTAACTTTAAGTGTTTGAAAGCACTTTTATATTTGATGTGATAATAAAACAAAATTATCAGAAAGATGAGTCACAGATCTCTGAAGAAATGATCTCTGAAGACCTTTAAATTAAGAAGGTTTTTAGTTTTTGTGTGTAATAATACTCTTAACAGTAATGAATAAACCCTTCTGGCAAAATATTTTGTTCTTCCCTTTTAATGTAACTTATTGGTAAATTTAAGCCTTCAACATGGATTCTAAATCAGCCAATGTATTAAGGAATGTATGTTCCTTAATACATAATACATAGGTTTTTTTTTAAATGGTATCTTATAGTATTATATTAGTAGTTATAATTAAGGTTACTGTTAGGAACTGGCAATTTCTATGCTGAGATATTGATAGAACTGTCCAAATTTTCTATTGCAGTCAAAAACAACAGAAGTATAGATTAAGATTCCCTTTGAGAATAATAACAGGCTTACAAGTATCTCTGAATTTATGACTGTTTTATGGGGTGGAATAATGTCTGTTATTACCATTACAGTGTGCCAGAAAAAATACAGCCATAATAAAAATAACAATATTTCACTATCATTAAATCTGACTTTTATTTATTGACAATTTATAGTCTAGAAGCTATCCTAAGCCTCTCACATCTTTCTTAAACTTTTGATAGCAGGGGTTAAATGCATAGGAATGACGATTGAAATTGGAGAGATTTGTTTTCCATAATATTTAAACACTAATGAAAACCCTCATAACAAATAAATGAAATGATTCAAAATGAGACATAAAACGGTAATGAAAGGGAATTAAACACTTTATGGCTATACATGTTAAATCCTACGTTTAATTATAATATTATCGCAATTTTAATTTAATACGAGATAAAAACAAACTCACATTCTAGATTATTTATGTGCATATAGTATGTGGATTTTCATATAGTTTTTCCTAAAAGGACAAAGAAAGTTTAATTTCTGATCCATAACACTGTAAATGCAGTCTCCCTGCGGCTTGTATATTAATTGTCTGGAGATAACCAGATATGTCATGTACTACTTTTTGTGTTCCAGTACATTTATTTTGAAATGAAAGCGAAAATGGGATTTTGGTCCTGTAATATTATTTCTGCTTCAAAGCGCTCTCTTAATTAAGATACTGTTATAGTTGCAGAGCATCAGTGATGTCGGCTCATACACCCAGAGGGATAATCAGTGCATCAGGATTTTGAGAACCCTAGCTATAAATAATTTTAGTAAATTACATATTTTTATTCATTCCTATTCCTGTAGATACTTTTTTGTCTCGGAAAAAGGCCCGCAAGGGGTGATACACAAAACGTTTAATCCCAAAATATTACTTTCTGCCAGATCCTAATACTTGGCTTGCACTAGATTTGGAATTTATTGAAAATAGGTTGCCGCAGCATATACAATAGAAAAAAAGACTGCGGCAGCAACATTAATGATTTGAAATCAGTTATACCAACAAAGGAACAAAATACAGCCTAACATCACAAGTGGTATTATCATGAAAGGTATTACATTAGATTCCCATTTAATTGATGCCGAGACCATTGGGAATAGGCAT